CTTTATGTTTTAGTTTTCATGTCTGAACCGGGACTGTCGTAGCTAACGTTAGCTCTGGTGTGTGTACCAGAACTGTTGTTTGTCACAGATGTCACATACTGACCCGTCTTGTTCGTCTTTTTGGCGGGCAAACAAACTTCAGGTGCATTACTGCCACCTACAGGGCTGTGGTGTGTACATCAGTATAACTGAGATGTGTTACTCTGGTGGAAATTAATGAAACAAAATGAACTTATTATTACGTCTTGTCCAGTGATTTTTCTACAGTAGGTGTAGAAGTAGGTGAGTACTGTACAGTACAGCACAGTACAGTACAGTACAGCACAGTACAGTACAGTACAGCACTTGTAGCATCTGCTCACAGTGTTGTGTGATGCTACAGATTCAGCTCTCATCCCAGAGAATATAAATAATGTAAATTTGACATTAAACAACTTTTGGTTCAGCTGTGGTCGAACGTAGAATCACTTCATCTCCACCTGTTTTTAACAGTCAGGGAAACTTGATGCTGATCCTGATCCTGGATCTGCTCTGTCCACTGCAGAGGTTTCACTGCTCTGTCTCTGTCTCATATACACACTCTCTCTCTCTCTCACACACACACACACACACACACACACACTCACACCACCTCTCTATAGGTGGATGGAAACAGTTGTTAGGTCATTAACCCATGTTTAACCAACTCTAACCCCTTAAACCAAAACTCTCTCTCCTTTAATGGTCGGTTTAAACAAAAACGGTCCTCACATCCCAATAAAGACACACACACACACACACACACTGGCGGAGCCTAACTTGCATCGACAGCACTCTTCACTTTCTCTCCCCTTCACACCTGCATGCGCAGCACTCACTGAAAACTCTACGCACTGAACACAGACACGTGTAACGGTCATAAATTAACAGAGAGCTCTCCCCCTCTCTCCCTCTCCCCCTCCCCCCGTCCTCCTCTCCTCCCTATACTGTACCCGCTCCTGACTGATCCATAGAACAGTCATGGAACTGAGATGTTTGACCCGGTTCAGCCTTCAACCCAGCTGAACTGCTGTGTGCTGCCCCTCCCCCCGTGGAGGGGTGAGGGGTGAGGGGTGAGGGCGGGGGGGACATGTGTGACTTGTGTCGACTTTGAACAACAAACCAGTCCAGCTCCTGTTGGAGCCTCCGTCTTCTCTCGGTCTACACAGAAGCTCTTTTGTACCTCTGAGCTCATCGCTGCTGTGCATTGTGGGTAATTTTACAGCTCCACTGTTTTGTCTTCTCCGCAAAGTCAGACCACAGCAGAGAGTGTGACAGCAGTCTGCTGCTTGGTCACAACCAGCCGTGCTCCACCCGTGTTTCCCAGGTGACCTACCTACATCAAGTCCAGAAGGTCAGACTAGAGAGGTCAAAGGTCAAGTGACTCAGAGATGACACGTTCTTTGAGCCTTTGTGACACTTTCTGACACTGTGACTCAGTTCAGGTTATAAACTTTAGTTTTACCTCCTGTTACTAATATATATGTACATATATATATATATATTTATGAATATAGTGTTGATGTTAGCACATTGAACAGGTCTGTCTGGTTTGTTATGTTCTTTAAAGACCAGTAACGTTCCTATAAGAATGTTAGAGTTCCCACTGCAGACATTTATTCTAATTTATCACTGAGATTAAACTCAGAAACGACAGGTTTTCTCCTGGACGATAAAGAGGGAGAAGGGCCGAAGTGACCGGGATCAGAATCAAGATCAGGATGCAGCTGGTTCTGGGTGAACTGGTCACAGAGTTGATGATGGTTCAGAGGGAGCTGGTGTCTGACGTGTGTGGTATAATGAACAGTGTCTGCTACCAAAGATGGTTCAATACCAGGTCTGTGTGTCTCTGCTGCTGGGCTTGGACTTTGATCCGGTCCAGTTGGTCACTGTGCTGAGTTCTGTCTCAGATGTCGGTGTTTTATGTCCCGCAGTGTGCTTACTGTTTGACTGTACAGGAGGACAACAGTGCCCCTGCAGTCCCTGCTGTGGTACTTCCAGTCTAATATCCACTCCTGTAGCTTCTTAGCACTGATTTATTTTCCTCTCGTCTCATCTTTCATGATCCTGTGGGGACAGTCCAGAGTGTCTGTGGTTTTACTGAGGCTTGATTGAATTTTACTTCTACTCCTGTAGCATCTCCACAGACCAATATTCTCTTATGTCCCTGTAAAGGATTTGCTGCTGTGTGTGTGTGTGTGTGTGAGTGAGGCGTCCAGGATGTCAGCCGTACCTTATAAATACCCCGTAAAGAAGGTCGACACATTACAACGCTCCGAGGTCCTACAGTGAAGACCTTTGTTTATCTTCATGCACATTCATCCAAACAGTTCCATAAACAACCTACAGAAAACTTAGCTGAATTATTGGACTCGTTAGGAAATGGGAGAAAAATAAGAAGCTACGTCACTGCTACAGACCCAGAGGTGGCTGAACATGTGGCAAAGATGGCTCAATATTAGGCAACAGAATAATTAGCAATTGCTAATTGCTAAAATAATCATGTCATATTCCAAATGATCTAAAAATATATTAATAAACAGTATGTAATACTGTTTATTAATTTTTGCTAATTTGGTAGTTAAACGTATGACTGAAAAGCTAGAAACCAGTCAATATTAGCAATGAAGAAGAACTTTGTCCATTGGTGAATTGGCTAAAACAATTATAAAATAGGTCAAAAATAAAGGTAAAATGAAAGTATGTGTGCAACACTTAGCCAGTAGGTAGTTAGTAGTAGTTAGCGTAAACCTCACTAAAAGTTGTTTCATAAAAGAAAACAGTGAATTAATCCAGAACTAGTAATAATTAGGCAAATAAAACAATCTACGTTTTAGATTACAAAGTAGCTAAACTTACTGTTAACATCATCTGTAAAATAAGAAAATCTGAATTATTAACGTAGTCAAATAGACTGAAAGTAAAGTAAACCAGTTAATGTTAGTTAATGAAAACTAAGAGAAAACTTATTGGAAAACGTTAAAAAAAATAAACAAGTCTGGTCACTTTAGTCTCTCACAGTCCACTGTGGCGGGATCCCGGAGTATTGTGGAACGCGCACATGCACTCTGACATGAACGCGCACAGCAGTGGCATCAGCGGCTTCTGCTGCGCACAGAGGATCAATGTTTTTTTTTCTTTCTCTCTTTTCTGATCGATACAGCAGAGCGTGTGATCAGTTTCGGCTCTGCAGGGTCAGTGCACGGCCACTCACGCGCGCGTGCACTTGCAAACACTCTCTCTCTCACACACACACACGTCTACATGCACGCGCATGCACGGCGACGCAGTGAGTCTAGTGGCGGACGCGGAGAGTGGATGTCCCGGCGCTGGGGCAGCAGCAGCAGCAGACACAGGCAGGACAGAGGAGCGGAGAGGAGGTGGCGCTCGACTCACTGTCCGGGACAACACACACCGACTCACTCACACACTCTCTGTGTCTCTCTCCCACTCTCTCTCTCCGCCGTCTCCTCCTGTTGGAGATAAATTAACGGAAAGCAGCTGTCGGTTGTTTCAGAGGCGAGGCGGCCGTCTGGCAGCTCAGGGATCCCGCTTCTTCACCCCTTCTTCGCCTCCTCCTCCTCCTCCTTTATCCTCCTCCTTTCTTTTTTTTCTTTTTTTGTTTTCTTCCTCGCTCGCTCTGCTCTTTCTCCGGGACTCTTCTGGCAGTTCCT